AGCTTTGACATTTAGCAAACATGACAACAAAGCAACTAATAGACATTATAGATTCTTTTCTCCTTAAGTTTTTTCCCTCTGTCAGTTGTTCAAGTGCAAAATGTGATATATATATATATATTTTTTATTTATTTAATTTTTTTTTTTTTTGATTTTTCTGGCTGAAAATAGATCCTTAAAAGATAACAGCATACAGTGCTCATTAAACTATCATGCCTGGTTTCTATGTCATAACGAAATTGCTTCCTCTCCGTGATGCTACTGTATAGTTGACAGTGACCAATTTGATGCAATAATTAGGAACTGACTTTTTATAATTGAAAAGGCAGCTCTGATGTCAGCGGGGTTTAGAGACACCTCTGCGCCTCACCATTTTATTATTTTTACTACATTTACTCATAACATAAAAATAGCAGCCAGACAATTCTTTCTCTGGGAGTTTGTTCAGGGCCAATTAAGCTATAATAGGCGCCCCTTTGAAGAGCTGGAGATGAAGCATGAACGGTGGGGTCTCTTTTCTGCGCTCATTCATCTCAATCAGAAATCCTTCAACCAAAAAAAGAGGGGGGGTGGAAAGAGAGATGTAAGCACAGATGTATGAATCCCCCCATCACGGATCAATGCATCTGTTAACCTGGAGAGTTGTGCACAGTAACCTAGCTGTATGAGAGGGCACACACCGACCACTCAATTCTGACAGAGACGCCTTTACAACCTGAAGGAAAAGTTGTAGGATAAGATGGAAGTGAAATTATTGAGCAGTCAAGTTTTGGTTGTGCCAGCACACCTTCCCTCCCCGTAGCTCGGCCCTAGAACTAATGCAGACAGAAGGGTTGGCTCCCATCTCCCCCCACCTCCTCCTTAGTCATTTTGTTTTGTGATTACTTAAGATTTTTATGGCTCCAGTAGATTGCAAAAAAATATGTAGCTTTAATATGAAATGAATCCCGAGAGAAGTCATCACTGTTTGTGTACTTGGTGAATTTTAAACATTGTTAGTACTCAAAATTTGGTTTTTGTTTTTTTGTTTTTTTTAATTAAATGTTATTGTACAAATATATCATGTGGGTGGGTAGCGGACAATGTATGCGCCTGCCCAGCTGTCCTATTTATTTGCTCCTTTTTGTAAGATCATCAGTTGGTCTGTATATGTATATCCTTCTTGTGTCCCCCTATATGCCGCCTCCATTCTCTATCTTTTTAATGACCCATCATTTCTTCCTGATATTATTTAAAGACCCATTAGAGCTACTGTTGTTCTGACACAGGTTAAAAATAAATAAATAAATCAGATACCTTAGATGAAACAGCACTGGCAGGGACCTCCCCAGCAGTACAACAGCCATAAGCATTTCAATATGGATTTTGTTATTAAAGTTGTATATCTCCTCCTTTTTAAAAAAAAAACAAAAAAAAAAGGCCATCATCTCCTGACTCTTAGGAAGCACGGCCTAATTGTGCATTTCAGGGGAGCAAGCTCTGTTCTAGCAAATTTTTTTTTTTGTTGTTGCAACTTCTCTGTTTCTTCAAGCTAATTTGTCTTTTAATTTGTTGCAGGTGCTGCTTGCTAATGAGCTCTCCCTGTTCCCTTGCAATGAAAGAAAAAGGAGACTTCAGATAGCAGGATGGCTAGTAGCTGAAGATTTGGAAACTGGGTGGTAAACTGCTGCCGAGTAGCATCAGCCAGAACTTGTCCGAAGTCAGCACCTTGCCACCAACGCAAGAAGCAGAAGTAACACACAAGAAAGCAAGTCAGTGCTTCTATTGTCAATAAAGCAACCACAGAACAGACTTTTCAGACGGCTTGCTCAATTTACTCCTAGTCTGTGTGGTCAGAGAGGTTTTCCTTCAACAGAAGGAAAGTTTAGCTCCAAAGAGGTTCACATTTCCAAGTTACCTAGACAGTAATGTTATAATATTTTCTAAATAAAGGTGGTTTGTTTTTGTTTTTTTTTCTTGGTTTTTTTATTTTTTGTTTTTTTTTTTTTTAAAGCCCTACATTATTTAAAGCACACCACCACTGAGGACACTTGAAAAAGCTACCCATTTGTAGCAGAGAAATGAGGTTAGGGAAAACTTGATCCTGACCTATCACATTAGCCTTTCTGATTTTTTTTTTTTTTTTTTTTTTTTTTTTTTTTTTTTTTTTTTTTTTTTTCCCCTCCCCTCCTATCAAATTTCATCACAGAATCAGAACTTGATAGGGTTATTGATTGAGTGGAGTCACCTCTAGATGTTTTCATGCTGATTTGGAAGATCTTTTATGCAAAGAAAATAAAATGAAGTTAAGGAAGACTTTTGCCAGCTGATCAGCTATTTTGGAAACTGCAAGTCTCCAAAGCAACTGACTTGCAAACTTGGCTTCCACCCCTGCGGACTTGAACGCAGCATCGCAGCATACAGAACTGGGCCGCTTGTTCTCATCTCCAGGACCTCCTTAAGCTACAGGATTTTTAGATGAGGAGTTTCCATGCTGATCCTGACAGCACCCCCTAATCCGGTAGCTGCCTCTCTCGGGACTGTAGGCATTTCCCTTGCCCAGGGACCCTGTCCTTGGTCTCAGCTGCCATGTTGCACCTGGTCGCTGTTCTGCTGCACTGTCTCCCACTGGCCATGGGACACTATGACATTTGCAAATCCTGGGTGACCACAGACAATGGACCCTCATGGGAGTTTTATGCTTGCCAGCCCAGGGCCATGCGAATGAAGGACTATGCAATAGTGAGAGTGGATCCAGCAGGAATCACTTGTGGTGACCCTCCTGAAAGATTCTGCACTCATGTAAGTAGCCTGCCTTACCTATCCTACGTGGCATATTGTGATGACCTCTGCCTTCTGTCCTCAGCCCCCATGTCTCCAAGTGCTGGCACATCTGCTAGAAGAATACCCAAGGTTAGGGTGGCACTGTTAGCTAATAGTTTGAACTGGAAATCGCTGCTTCTATCAGGTCTTCTCCTCTATGCTTCCTTGTCATTCCTGAGATCCTTCATGTTGGGGCCATCTCTGATGCTGACCTGTGTGGCTTTAGTGAGGTCATTTGACATCTCTGTGATCTCAGTTGTGCGGTCAGCAAGATGGGGAGAATTCTGCTTCTCCCCCGGGGGCGTTTGGCTGTTGTTTGCAAAATGCTTTCGAGACCTTTGCACGAGAAGTGCTATAGAAGTGCAAGGCGTTTAATAATCCCCACACTGTCATATCCTTTGCTGCAACATGTATTGTAAGCACTAATGGAGCACGACTGGAACCAGAAATGGAGCGCTCTCCTGTATGACAGTAAGGATAATGATACTCCCTTGATAAGAGGCTAACTCAGGGTCAGTTTAGGGTGTTGTGATAATTTGAAATGGGTTACATATTTCAACTCCACATACTCATTCTCAGAAAAGCTCAGGGCCGGAGTTGTGGATATCCACTGTTGGGACCGGATTTTTAGAAAACCTCAGCACTCTACGTGCACCCAGAAACTAAGCTCTTCTCAAATGTGCTGCTTACTCAGAGGAGTTCTTTTGAAACTCCAGCCCCAGTGCCTGTGTGGTCCAGCTGACTGCAGTGGCACAGGTGCAAACCTACTCTCGGAAGCCAAGCTTCATGAGTGGTGGGTGGATGATCTGCAAGTTTGGGCAAAGGTGATGAATACGGAGGAGGAATAAGTGTGGTCCGGCTACCACGGTGGCCGAGATGCCAGCGTCTTGCATCTGTTGGACAGTGAGCCATCCCCAAGAACGTAGCCCTTTCTTTCCCCTGTCCTCAGCATGGACAGGCACTCACTCTCTTGTATTTAAAAATCTTTAACATATTTTCTCTTAAATATTAATCATGTCCTTTCATTCACTGTGCCACAAAGCTCAGCAGGAGCATTTGATATATTATTTATGAAGCTTACTTTGTTTAAAAAGTTCAGAGGTCAAAATCTACAGCAAAACAATATGCCATAAACAATCCTTTTCTAAATACGCAGCATTAGAACCGAAATGTTGGTCAAAAAGGCAGTTCTTGGTTTTCAAGCTGAGTGACAAACTGAGGTCTGAAGAGGCTCCCATTATAGCGGCACTGAAAAGGCAGGTTTGTTTCTTAAACAGATTGTGTTGCCACTTAATTACATGGGGTGGGAAGTATTGCCTAGAGCCTGGGGCAAGGGGCCTGGAATGGGAACTCGTGCTTTGTGAACTTAGGCAAGTCATCTTAACTGTGCCTCAACTTCCCCATCTGGAAAATGGGCATAAGCAGGTAACAGTTTCTCTTGATTTGGGTGTCATATGGCCTTAGGGAGGTGACTTTTTCTCTCTTAGAGACCACTCTTGGCTTCCCCAAAATATGATGCCAGTCCCCATAGTGTTCACTGCATGCTTTCATTCGATACATTAGACATAATGGCCAAAGAGTTGGTAATTATTCCTTTTTAAATTAACATGCTTAAGGCTGGATTAACCTGCAGGTCCAGGAGAAAATAGTTTAACTATTGATAAGTCAATCTAGACGCACAGATTTCTATTCATCTGATTGGCTGCAGGAGAATTAAAAAGTGAACAGATTCCACCCATTTCAGCGGCAGACAGTTGGCTGCAAATGTGCTGGGGTTAATGTCGTGCCAGACTTCAGCATGGTCAGGGCTGGAGGAAACGAGTAACCGAAACGTAAAGACTTGTTACATCCCTCATTTCGGCCCATAAGGAGCCAGATTCTTTCTATTGTGTGCACCAGTCGTTCTTCCTGTGGCACGTGGTCGTTGTGTGTCTTAAGTGCTATACCCTAGTTGCTTGGATCTGAATATGAAAGCCAAGAATGGAAGCATGACATAAAATTCAAAATACTACATCTGACTGCGGAATAGCCATAGCAATAGATGTACGGGGGCTGCTTTGTCATTTTTTCATCTCTGAACTTGTATTGCAAAAAACAAAACCCACTCAGATATTCCCTGATGAAGAGGCCAATTTGGAACAGAAGTATTTAATTGCAAGTCATTTTCTAGATCATGGATCACATTTATTAAACCACAACCCAAGTGCCATTCCCCCCTTGTCTGCCCACTTGTTCCTCATTCTCCTAAACATGAGCATAGTCTAAAAATAAGGCATATAGGAGAAGAATGCATGTAACCCTCTTACAGCTGATAAACAAATATAAAAATTTAGAGGAAGAGAGGGCCAGCTCAGTTCGCGGTGGGGACGTGCCACAAGAGAAGCCTAGGACAGAATCTAGCTGGAGGATCTCTACTCCAGGCTACAAGGCCACCAAGGTGACTTTTCCTAGCCTCCGTCATGGAGAATAGCGGATGCTGTCTTAACCACAGAGCATCCCCTTGCGGTCAGCACTGAGAGGAGCCAACGTGAGTCAGTTCGATCACCATTTAGGTCTCACGGCTGGGGACCTATTAATACTCAGGGACAGGAGGAGAATCTGAAGTGGTGGTGTCAGCAAGGGATTGCCAGCCCTATATAAAGGAGATGATCAGCAAAATCCATGTCACTGCCCCAAGCCACGACGACCTCCAGGCCTAAGCCCCTGCAGTCTGGAGGTGAAGGCTCAGCCGCTCCCACGTATGGCACAACCGCTACTGCACAGCCAAGCTAACTTGTCTGGAGCTACGGCTGCGTTCTCTATGCTTTTGCTTTCCGCATTAATGGGTGCTGCAGTAGTTTCCCATTTTGCTGTCCTCTGTTTTCAGTTATGGGTGAGCAACAGGTGGACTCTCCTAAGACCATGGCTTTCTAAATGCAGTTAAATTTGATGGTGGCTGATACTACTCTTGCAGGGGGCTTCTGAGATGGCAGACTACCATGCACATGGCAAAAAGCATTCCCCATATCGGGTCCTCTCTGTTCAGATGCGCAGGGTGCTACTCAGACCAGAGGAATTAAAATCGAATGACACACAAACGCCATCAACACACAATTGGAAAAAGAAAGGGGGGAAGAAGGATAAAAACAGAATTATGAGCTCAGCACCTGGCATCATTTCCAGGGGGTGTGGGAGGGGAGTGCTACAAGAACTCATCTGAAGGTCCTAATCCTGTCAAATGACGAATGCTCTCCATCAGGCGCTGAACGCCCTGTTGGTGTCAAGGAGACGCTCAGCATCTCACAGGATCAGACTATCATCAGAACAGCTTGAAAATTTGGGATTGAAAGTTAAAAGGGAACAGATGTGTAACCAAGGAGCTCAGGGAAGGGTGACATTTCAAAAACTGGATGCAGGCTGCTGCGCAGGGGGCTTTTGAGGGCAAGTCCTGCTGCTCCCATGTCAGCCTCGAGTGTTTCCGTCCCACTTGAGTATTGAGCTCTTCCTCATCCATTCCAGCACAGTTCTTCATGGGCATGAAAATATTTTGCATCAGAATCTGTCATGCCCAGAGACACCCCCTGCACCTTGGGGTTGACCAGGTGAATCTGGGCTTTATTTTGCCAGGCCTGGAAATGACTACATTCCGGATTATTATTAACACGGTGCATAAGTTCCCAGTGCAGCTTATGCCAAGATGCATGTCCACCCCAGATGGGGTCGCATCATAAAGAGCTCCCAACCGGTTACAACAAATGCATTCTGACCATGTTCGACCAGAGGCCCTCCGGCAAGAAAGAGGCCACAGCAACCCCATGTCCAAAACTAATCTACATAATTATTTTGCTGCTGCTTAGTGCTACGGAGAACTGTCTCTGCGCCATAAAAGCCCTGTGGTATAAAAGCCTGTGCCATAAAAGCCCCTTCTCCCAGTGTGCGTTCACAGGGGCTCGGGTTCTGGTCCCCGTTCAGGTGGTGCTGTTTGTTGCTCTTAGCTCGCATGGATGGGTCAGAGGTGGTTTATTTTTACAGCATCAGCATTGTTTCAACAGTAAAACACAGCTTGTTGATTTTGGCATGAGTACGTGAAAGGTGTGTTGGGGGGGAGAGAATAGCATTCTTGATTGCTTACACCTCCAGCTAAATTTAACTCCCATTTTGAATGCCTCGTTAGCTTCTCTGAATGACTCCTGTTCTGTCTTCACAGCATTTGTTAATTGTTTGTTTATCGGTTTCCCAAGTTCCCTGTTTGTTTTAAAGTGGGGTTGTTCAGAAATAGCTTTCTAGCAACACACTTCAGATGCATTGAGAAGTCTCGTGGTGCGAGGGAGAAAGCCAGTGATGGGTTAACTGTTCGGGTAATCCTGATTTAAAAAAAAAAAAAACCACAACACTCAGGCATGGGCTAGGTAAGGACTGCACAGCTTGCTGGCTAGAGCTCAACAGGCTGACCCTGTTTTACGATCACTTTGTGGATGGGAGCCGAGGCTGGCAAACTGGTGAAATCTCAAGTGCAAGACTAATTGCAAGTCAGGTAAAAGTGAGAAACACCTTGAGGGGAAACCTGTAGATAAGTTTTCTGTCTTACAGAGTTCATTGCTACCCAATGATGACTTCATCCCTGGTTTGAGCAGAGGCCCGAGAGGCGGAGATCCTCATTTTTTTTAAGCTGCTTTCTCTAATTTGCAATACGACCTTGGGAACATCATTTGACCTCTTGGGGCCCAAGTTTACCAGCCAGGTCCCAGTCTACTGTCTTCCCCTACCACCAGGATGAAAACATGCAGTCAAGTAATATTTTATGAAGGTGATCCCACCCCCAGTGCTGTTGTAGACTGGAACTAACCCGATTTACCTACATCCCTGGGGTGCTGTATGGCTAAATTAATGTTTATAAAATGTTCCGATTCCTTGGAGGAAAGCAGCTGGAGAAGGGCAAACAGCAATGCTTATTATTCCTTTAAATCAAGGGCAAAGGAGTTTTCTAATGCACCGATTCC